GAGACGTGACGATCTGCCCGAGGAAGCACACAGCTGAAAATCAAACAGACTGGGAGACCAAAAACCTTCCTTTCTCTCTCAGGGCCACATCAACCTTTTCTGCAGACAGCTGCTGCCCTAGGAAGCAGGGAAAGCCGTTCGGTTCTGCACCTCAGGAAGGCTCAATCGAGGGCCTGTCCTTGGACAGATGAGCACAGGGAGAAAGGCACGGCTCACTCCTGCCTCCTTCCCAGACAGAGAACCTTGCATGAAGCCATGGCAGCGGCAAAGCCCTGGCAGGAGCCGTGACCTGGGGACCAGCAGCACCCCGACAGACAACACCTCCCCTGGGGGATGGGGGGAGGAGGAAATTTGGGGGGGGGTCTTAAAGGGCTCTGCCACCAGACCTGTTCCATTAACACCACCAGGCCTGATAACAGGGCAGGTCGGAGCCAATCCAGGCTCCTGTATCCCACGGAGGGGAGGCTTTGCATCCCTGCTGTGTCCCCACCCGTCCCTCCACGCCCCTCCAAAGACCCCCAGAGCCACCAACACCCCCCAGCCCCTCTCCAACCCCACCCGACAGCACCTCGGACCCCCTCACGACCCCCCCAGCCCCCCAAAGGCCTTCCCACACCCACCTCAATGCGCCCTAAAGGCCCACTCGGCCCCCAACCCCCCCCCAGCAGGCCTTAAACCCCCCCCCCTTAAAGGCTCCCGGTCTCCAAAACGACCCCCGTGGCTCCCAGCAGCCCCCTAAGCGCCTCCCGACGGGCCTTAAAGCCCCCCCCCCCCCCAGGGTCATCTCTCACCCCGCCACCAGGATAATGACCCGCAGCGGTTCCGCCGCCACCGTCAGCAGCACGAGGGCGAGCGCGGGGCCGAAGGCGATCCCGGCACAACCGAAGAAGACGGCGGCCCCCATGGCGGCGGGGGGGGGGGAAGGGGAGGGGAGGGGGAAAGGAGGGGGCGGGGCGAGCGCGGGGCACGACGGGAGTTGTAGGCCGGAAGAGAGCGAGGAGCGAACAGCGCCCCCTTGGCGGTGGGAGGACTCGCAAAGCGTGGGGTCGTCGGGGACGTTTTGGGGGGGGCGGTGCGGGGACGGAAGGAGAGCAGTGCGCTGTGGACCGGGCTGTTTTTGAAGCTTAAAGGCTTTTATTTGTTCATCTTTACGTAAAGCGGGCGGGGAAACCCCAGCACGGTGTTGGGTTTGGGGTCTGGTGGTGTCATGGCGGTGTGGGTCCGGATAGGGTGAGGTGTGCGTACAGCAGCTCTCCCTGTGGCGTCGACACCGTCACTGCGGCTCCGGCCCCACGATGTCCCCTGCACCGCCTCCACTGACCCCAACGCCCCCCACCATACCCACAGCCTCATTGTCCCCCCCCGGCAGTCCCCCACCATCCATCCATCAACACCCCGTTACCACCCATTGCCCCTCATTGCCACCCCATTGCTCCCCATCATCCCCACATCCCCCAGCTGCCACCCATTACCACTCATTGCCACCCATTGCCCCTCACTGACACCCCATTGCCACCCCACTGTCTTCCACATCCCCCCATTGCCACCCATTTCCCCTCATTGCCACCCCATTGCTCCCCATCATCCCCCACATCCCTTCATTGCCACCCATTGCCCCCCATTGCCACCCGTTGCCACCCACTGCTCTTCATTGCCACCCATTGCTCCCCATTGCCCCCATTGCCTCCCACATCCTCCCATTGTCCACCACTGTCCACCTCACTGCCTCACCAGGACCCCCACCTGTGATCCTGGAGGCTCCAGGACCATTGGCTGATGGGCTGAAGAAGGGACAGGAACGTGGTCCCAGCATTGGGCTGCAGTGATGGGGAGGTAGAGGATGGGGAGGCATTGAGTTTGGGGGGAACTGAGGATGGCAGAGTGGGATAGAGAAGCCCCAAAGGGGTGCACAGAACAGTGGGGGTCAGCAGGGGCAGGAGGACACCCCATTCCTGCCCCACTGCTTACCTGCCCGTGCAGGGAGGAGGCAACGGGCACTGAGGCAGAGGCTGAGCAGCAGCAGCAATATTCCAGCCACGGCCATTCCCACAGCGCTGGGCAATGGGCAGCCACCTGGGGACCAGTCTGTGTCCCATCACTGCCACACAGACCTCACTGTCCCCAAGGATCCTCCCGTGGGCCCCCAACAGCCTCCATTAACACTACAATGATCCCATTGCCTTCCCTCATGCCTCCACCACAGCCACCATGGCCCCATTGACCCCCACACCACTCTCTTCTGATTCTCACCCCAGCATTGCACCATCTGCTCTGTCTCAGTTTGCCCCCATGCATCCCAGCTGGAAGGAGCCACGAAAGGGAGTCACCCCACCCTCCTTTCCCCCCTCCTCCCAGCCCTGTGCTCACCCACAGCCTCATGCAGCTCCATGCTCCTCTGGATGTGGGGCCCAGAAGCATTGAAGCGAACCTCACAGAGCCCCCCAGCTCCCCCAGGGCTGAGCAGCAGCTCTGTGCTGTTCCCCAGCCCCAGGACCTCCTGGGGACGGTCCCCCCCTGGCCTGGAGATGAGGACGGGGCCACCAGAGGCACCCACAGCACAGATTGGGCTGAGGGGGGACTGGGGGGACCAGCGGGTGGCCAGGACCTGCACCCAGCTGTGGGTCCTCCAGCTGTCTGCAGAAAGGGAGCACAGTAGGGACCCCCACACAGTGCCGGTGGGTGTGGGGGGGTCTGTTTTGGGGAGGGATGTGGGGGTCACAAGTACTGGGGGAGGTATGGGGGTCCATTTCAGTGGGGAGGACATGGATGGTGGACAAGCAATGGGGGATCTTTGGGGGCATGCTAAGTAGAGGTCCATGGGGGTCTCATCCAGTGGGGTGAGATGGGGTTTGTCACATCCAGTGAGGGCAGGGAGAGTCCCAACCAACGGAGGGATGTGGGGGTCCCAACCCATTGGAGGGCATGGGGTGGGGAGGAAGGAGGGGGCTGTGTGAGATGGGGCAGACTGAGGGGTCCCATTCAGTGCCTATGATGGGGTTCCCATCCAATGGAGTCCCCCCCACGTCTTCCTACCTCCCACCAGCAGCATGGTGCCGTTGCTGAACTTCAGCTTGGTGGCAATGAAGTTTGCACAGAGGTACAGAGCAGCGTCCTTGGGCTGAGCAGCCTGGATGTGCAGCACAGCGTAATCCTTCTGATACTCACAGGAGAACACATCCCACCTTCCATCTATGCAGTTCAGAAGCTCTCGGGGCGGCTCTCCGGGTCTGTGTCGGAACCACAGCACATTGCCTGCTCCATCCATCCACTTATCTGCCATGCATCTGACGCTCACCGCAGCCCCAGGTTCCACAAAGAGGACGGGATCCGGCTGCCACAGCTCCAGCAGCGCTGCAGGGACGGAACCGAGGTCACTGCCAGCCCCAACCCCCAGCACCCCGTGAGCATGAAGCCCCCCCAGGCCCAACACACACCCGTGCACAGCGGCAGCAGCCCCACGGCCACCAGCACTGGATTGCAGCAGGAACCCCTCGGTGCCATCGGTGCGGCGCAGCCCTTCTGCAGGGCGCTGCTCAAAGCGTTGGCCCTGGCTGCAACGCCTCCCTCCTGGCCACGTGGACACCACGTCCCCATCAGAGTCACTTTTCCCCTATAAGGGCCCACGGTGTCCCCAGGAGGGTCTCTGTGAGGATCGTGGTGTCCCCACACGGCTTGGATGTCCCCGTAAGGGATGGAGTGTCTGTGTAAGGAATATGGTGTCCCACAAAGGAATCAACGTCCCCAGAAGTGTCACAGTGGCCTCATGGGGGTTTCAGTGTCCCCATGAGAGTCTCAGTGTCCCCATGGGGGTCACAGGGTTCCCATGGGGGTCTGTGTCCCCATGTGGGTCTCAATGTCCCCGTGATGATCTCAATGTCCCCGTGAGGTTCTCAGTGTTCCCGTGTGGGTCTTAATGTCCCCATGAGGGTCTCAGTGTTCCCATGAGTTTTCTGGTGTCCCCACAAATGTTGTGGTCTCTGCAGGAGGATGATGGTGATCCCACATGGAAGTGGTGACCCCAGGAGTGCTGCAGTGTCCCTGTGAGGACAGCGGCGTCCCCATGAGGTTGGACACCCTACTCCGGGTCTGCAGGATTGCACCCCAGCTCCCAACCCTGCTGTTGCTGTGTGGGACTCACATTTGGGGGCTGAAAACACAAACATTCGTTTTTTTAGCCACTCCTGCAATGCTCGGGGCTGGAGGCGGCCCCTCAAGGACCCTCTGCCTCCCCTTTGGGATGGAGGGAGAAGGCAGTCCCAGCGCCCAGCACTGCAAACCACAGCGCGCTGCGGAGCCAAAGACCTTCTGGGGACGGCCATCCCCTCCCCACTGCCATCCTCGGGCTCTCACCAAAGTGACCTTTAAAGGACAAAGGACCGAAGGCAGTTTTGCTCCCCCAGCGCTGCCTTTGCGGTCGAGCAAAGACGATGAAATGCTGCGAACCCGACGGCCTGAGGGCAGCAAGAAGGGTGGGGGACGGCAGTGACAGGGGCTGTGTGCAGCAAACAACAGCAAGGTGCCAAAACAACAAAGAGGGGGGTGGGGGGGTGATAAAATGAGCGAGGCGAGCGCAACCGCAGCGCTGCTCCGGCTGCAGGAACCACACGGAGCCCACATGAGCTGCCCTCACCCCCCGTGGCTCCCAGCAGCCCATGTCCCTCTGCATCCCCCATCCCCCGATGTCCTGCATGGCCCATGGGCAGCATCTCAGCGTTGGAGCTGCGCTCTGCGTGTCCCCATCCATGAGCTGGGTGCAGGGAGTTTGGTCCCAAATCCTCAATCAGCCTTGGGGCTGCGCTGGGGGGGGGAGCAGTGCAGGGTTGAAGCCGTGGAGGAAGGGGCTGGGGGTGAGGGTGGGGGGGGGGGGGGAGGTACAGACAAAATACAGGGAAACAAAATCCCCCCTGTATCACCAAGCTGTGGTTCAGTTCCATTTTGCCAACGAGAGCGGAGCACGCGGCCCCCGCCAAGCACGTGGGCTGGGGGTGATGGAGTCAGAGCTGCACTGCTGTTCTCATTTCCCAACCTCTGATCCCTTACCAAAGATGCCCCCTCCCCTCTTTATGCCCCCAAATGCCACCCGGGCGCATCGTCCCATCACTGCTGTCACCTCAGCCATAACCTCGGCTGCAGGATGCAGCACAGGAAGGCTCCTCCTCTGCCCCAGCTCCCCAAATCCCCCCCTCAGAGCATTCTGCAAGAGCTGAGAGCAACCCGAAGCCGTGCAGCTTTGCTCAGCGCCATCCAAGCATGACCTGCAGCCCGGCTGATGCCATTCTGCTGCTGCTGCTGCCCGGTATGTGCTGCCCCAGCCCCACTTTCCTCTCCCTGTAGCTCTTGGCATCGGCTGAGTGGTCCAAGCAGAGGGAGGGGGGCTCACATTGATGCAATTTGCTGTAGAATTTGGTTTCTCCACCAAATCCTACCCTGTTTTCTTTTACCCTGAAATTCTCCATGCAATCTCCTGCAGTTTGAATGCGATGGCAAAATCCATTCTGATGATCCCATCCAAACCCCACCGGGCACCGCTGCCTTCCCTCCCCGCGTCCCATCCTCTGCCCCCTCACATGAGGATGACACCCCTCACCCAGTGCAGGGCAGCTCTGTAGCACCCACAGGTCTTTCTGAGCCATAAATTCCCTTTTCCCATAGGATCTATGCTCCGGGCAGCAGCCAGCATCCATCAAAAGGCTCCGAGCTGCCAAATCCCAATAAAACCCCAAAAGGCCCCGATTTGGGGCTGCCTCACTCTCAGAGCATCTCACCCCGCAGGAGCTGCTCTGGCACAGCTGCGGATCCGGCAGAGCCCAGCACAGCTTTGGGTCCGCCCTGGGCGCACAGCAGAGCTGAACTGCAGCACCGATAGTGGCTGGAATGCGAGTCGGCACCGGGCTGTGAATTGGTACCGGGAGCAGCCGGGCAGCAGATTGCAGTTCATCTACCAGAGCTCAATTTCCCCACGTTCAGATGGAAAATACTCCGGGATGAGGAGAGCAGAGGGGTTGTTTTCCCTCCACATCAGCTCTGCGCAGAAGGAGGACTCCGGCTTTTATTACTGCGCTTCCACCACTCATCCCTCTGAGTTTGGGGACGGCACCAGGTTGGTGGTGACAGGTGAGCATCGGGACATCATGGGGACAAAGCAGGCGAGGGATGAGGGCGCAGCTCTGTGCTGCAGGGCTCTGGCACTGCCACCACCACGCCACCCCTGTCCCCTCTGCCTGCAGATGCCACGGAACCCACTCTCTCCATCCTGCTGCCCGTGGATGCGGATCTGCGTGAGCCACCCTTGGCTGCCATCCCTCTGCTCTGCCACCTCTATGATGTCCCCGAGGGTTGGGACGCGGTTGGTTGGCAGCACAGCAACGGCAGCTTGGTGACGGCCACCTCCATGGACGAACGTGGCGTCCTCAGCGCCTGGAGCCTCGCCTGGCTCACAGCGGAGCGGTGGGGAGGCGCCGTGGGGTGCACAGCCACGCAGAGCAGCACAGGCAGGAGCATCAGCGTGACCACCAGCCCACCCAGCAGCACAGGTCAGCTCGCGTTGCTCTGCTCCGTCCCCTGCATGCGCGGATATAACTTTGGGTACCGCTTGGGGCAGCTTTGCTCTGCGCTCGCCGGATCCGGGGATGCGAGGCTGCAACGGATCCGAGCTCCCAACGCTTCCCATCCCGTTGCTTCAGCTCTGCAATCCGTAGCAAAATCCACCCAGCGAAGGATGAGGGGAGGGCACTGAGCCCATCGTTCCTCCCCCTCCCCAGCAGATCCCAGCCCCTATCAGCCCATCCCACCCCATCGATCTGGAACCCCCTTTTCCCCATCTCCTCGCATCCCCACGTGCTGAAATCCCTCAATGCCCTTTGGCTGCACGACCCCACACTTCTCCCCACGCTCCTCCCCTCCCCTCCCTCCGTTACGCTCAGCACGACCCCTGTGTGACCACCACAAAACTTACCCCCATCTCCCCCCCCTTCACAGCGCAGTGCCTGCAGTGGCTGCCGGCTGTTCTGCTGCCCTCAGTTCTCACCTTCACCGTCCGGCTGATGCTGCAGCTCTGCAAAAAGCCCCACGCTGGGGGTCCCGGAGCCCCACAGCCCCCCCAGCAGCGCAGACCCCCTTTGCCACCCCATAGAGCTGCAGGACGGAGCCAGGAGGTGAGCTGCCCCCCAGCCCAGGCTTTCTTTTGATTTATGGCTTTTTTTTCCCCCTCTTTTGGTCTTTATTTTTCTCTTTTTTTCCTCTTTTTTGTCCTTCTGTTTTTCTCTTTTTACTCTTTTTCCCCCTCTATTTTGCCTTTTTTTCCCTCTTTTTTTTTTTTTTTTTTTGCCATTTTCTCCTCTTTTTTTGCCCTTTTTTCTCTTTTTGTTCTTTTTTCCTCTGCTTTTTTTTTTTTGCTGCTTTTTTTTCCTTTTTTTTCCCCCTCCTTTTTCCCCCTCTTTTTTTCCTCTTTTTTCCCCCTTTATTCCTTTTTCCTTTTCCCTCTTTTCATTTTCCCTTTTTCCTCTTCTTTTGCTCTTTTTGCTTTTCCCTCTTTTCCCCCTTCTTCCTTCTTTTTTTTTTTTTGCTCTTTTTTCCTTCCTTTTCCTCTTTCTTCTTTTTCCTTCCTTCCCTCTTTTTTCTCTTTGCTTCTTTTTTGCTCTTTTTTGCTTTTCCCTTTTTGCTTTTTCTCTTCCCCTCCCCCTTTTTTTTCTCCCTCTTTTTTCTCCTTTTTTCCTCTCCCTTTTCTTTTTTCTCCCCCCCCCTTTCAACCCTTTTTGCTCCTTTTCTTTTCCCCCTTTTGCCCTTCCTGCTCTTTTTCCCCTCTCTGCCTCTTCTCCCCCCCGAGGTGCAGCTGTGTGCCCAGGGCTGCCATTGCTATGGGATGTGGGGTCCTTTCTTCCCAAGCAAAGACCCAGAGGAGCCCCCAGCCGTGTTTTAACACCTCCCCCCCCATTTTGCAGGCTGAATACACAGCAGTGGTGCTGAGATCCCCTTCCCCACCTTTGCAATGAGAAAAAAAAGCAAGACAAGGGAGACCGCAGAGAAGCTCAGGGCAATGGGAGCCCGGCTGGCAGCAGCTCTGGGGGGTCTGCAGCTCTATGGGAACTCTGCAAAAAGAAAGAAAAAAAAAAAAAAGAGGATTTGGGGGAAAAAAAAAAGGGGATTTCAGGGCTGAGTTCCCCACTGTTTGTTTCCTCACTGTGTGGGAAGAAATTCCAGCAGAAAACGCGTTCCTCTTCTGGCATCCAAAGCGAACGATGGGGGATGACAGCATCGCCGCCATGCAGGCCTCTGGAAAAACCCATTTCAGGCTTTTCTCAGCCCAAAGCGAAAGTGCTCTGGAAAAGAACTGCGCTCCCCATGCAGTGCCATTGCCCAGCACAGCCCCAGACCCCCTTCACCCCCCTAGGATCCCTATGGGGGTCCACTACGTGCTGCTTCCCAGCCCAACTTTCAGCCCATCCCCACCTCGTGCTGCCCCGCATGACAGCCATTAAATGGAAATGCTGGGAAAAATGGGAAAAGGTCCTTTTAAACCTCAGGGACGAAGCAAAGCTCCATTTCTCTCTGCCTTTTGCTCGCTGTGCAGCAGCACAGAGCTCCCATGGCACACAGTGGGGACGCTGGTGGCGCTCCCCGTCCTCAGGTCCCCTATTTCTCCTTTGCCCCAAACACTCCGCTCTGTGCTGAGCGCATCCCCCTTCCTCCCTGCTTTCCCATTCCTGAATAGGAAGCTGCTCCCAAACGTTGGGACCGAATTGTGGAGCTGTGGGAAAGCCCTGAGTGCTTCCGTGCGACTCTGAGCAGCTGCTCCTGGGGGAGAAGAAGGGAAACGAACGCATTCCAGCCTGGAAACCACGCGGGAGTGAGCAGGGCTGTGTTTAATTAAGAGAACAGAGCTTGCAAAGCAAATGGCTCCAACGTGCGGTTTCAGATCTGAGCCCCAGTGGTGCAGAGCTGCTCTCGGTGCCCATCTGAGCCTAAAAGCTGCCACAGAGCAGCGTGGAGTGGAGCTGGTGCTCAGAGTGCAGCGGATGTGGGCACGGAGAGCGGGAACCTGCAGCGCATTGGGTTTGGTGGTTGGTTGAATCTCCGTTTAAAATGGCTTTATTTTTCCACTCCCAACGTCTGCCATCGCCCCGCTCAGCCCAGCCCAAAGCCAGCGCTGTTTACAGAGCAGCAGGGAAGGGCAGGAAAGCTCTGTTTAGGAGAGAAATTCCTGCAGAAAGAACAGAAATCCCCGGGAAATGCAGTGGGAAGCGTGCTCAGCTCTGTGCCCACTGGTCCCGGTCACACCGTGTCCCCATCCCCATGTGCCCATCCCCATCCCCAATCCATCCCCATCCCCATCCCTACTTCCATCCCATTCCCCATTCCATCCCCATCCCCACCTTCATCCCATTCCCCATTCCATCCTTCTCCCCACCTCCATCCCATCCCCATCCCCATTCCATCCCCATCCCCATGTCCCCATCCCCATCCCCTTTCCATCCCCATCCCCATCCCCATTCTATCCCCATTTCATCCCCATCCCCACCTCCATCCCATCCCCATCCCCATCCCCATTCCATCCCCATCCCCATTCCATCCCCATCCCCATCCCATCACGGCTCCGGTTTTCCTCCCTGCTGTGTCCCATAGGAGCAGCTCCATCCATCCACCTCACCCCACAGTGGCTGTTTCCTCAGGAATCCTGCTAATCTCATTGTGAGCAGGACGGCCTCATTTGCCCGTGATTTTAATCTCCCTTCGAGTTTTGCTTCCTCCTATGGAAGGTGGGAAATGATGCAATGCTTCAAGCAGAGGATGGGATCGTCCACACCTTCCTGCTCCATCTGCAGCAAAGAGCCCCAGCCACAACCCAAACCGATGGTCCTGGGGGGTCCCTTACAAAACATTGCTCCCATCCTTGGCTGCCTCTCCACCTTTTGCAGATTGCTTGTAGCATTGGAGCTTTAACGCACAAAAAAGACCTAAAAGTGCACAGCTTACATAAAATGGGAATGGGGAAAATGTTGGCTTTGGCCACATTTCTTGGCTGCCCTTTGGATGCTGCTGCTGTTCTCTGTTACAATTGGGTAAGAATGAACCTCAAGGGAAGAGGCTAAAACCCAAAGCGCAGAGGGAGTGCTGGGTTCCTCCAGCCAGAAAACCTGCATGAATGCTGTAAGCAAAAATGGTGCTGGGTGGGAGGCAGCAGATCTGGAGCTCTGTGGGCTTTGTTCTCATATGGGGCACTGGCAGCAGCTGAGAGCAACCCCTGGGTGCATCCTGTGCAAGCCGTGGGCACAGAGCTCCTTCTGCATCGTGAAGCAGGGAAAGCGATGCACTCAGCCCCAAATCAAATGTGATGCCAAGGCTCTGTGCACTGCCCTATTGCCCCAAAGAAATCCCAATTTCATCAATTCCCCATCAGCACTGTTGAGCTGTAATCGTGACATCCTCAGATTGTAACGACCACAGCCCCAAGCCAGCAAAAATCCCTCGGAATCCAGCCTTGAGGCTTTGCCAGGAACCCTCCTTCCCACCCAGTCACTTCTTCTGATGAAAGCTACCAGAATCCTCCCACCAGCTCCAAAAACACAACGTTTTAACTCTTTTCTGGCTCCCCACGCTGCTGACGCAGCTCCCAGCCCCATCCTGCTGGGATTCCACCCTGCTGGAATCTGATATCAATTTTTGGCCGCGGCTGAAGTTTTGGTCGTGATGCTGTTGAGGGTGGAGGTTTGGGACGCTTGGGAGGGGAGCTGGGGTGTTTAGGGGGGGTCGGGATGCTTAGTGAGGGGGTTGGGGGCGTTTGGAGGGGGAGTTGGGATCTTTGGGTGTGGGGGGTTGGGATGTGGGGAGGTTTGGGGGGTTTGGTGGGGGGGTTTGAGGATGATAAGAGGGGGTTGGGGCCGTGTGGGAGGGTTTGGGGATGCTTGGGGGGCTGCAGGGATGCTTGGTGGTGGGATTTGAGGATACTTGGGGGTGGTTTGGGGGTGCTGGGGGGGTTGTTTGGGGATGGATGGATTTGGGGACGCTGGGATGCCTTCCCATTGCACCCCCAAACCCGGTGCAACACCGAGAGCCAGCGCAGCGCAGCGCCCATCGCCGTGCCCATCCCAATGAGGGCACAAGCATTGAGAACTGCATCTCTTTCTCATCAAACCCACTTCTCCCCACTGTGCAACGCACAGAGGTTGCTCTGGGAGCCCCCAGGATGTTCTCCATCACCTCCACCCCATGCACTCACCTCCTCTCCCCTCCTCCTGAGTCCAGCCTTGCGCTCCGTTGCCTTTTTGGAGAAGGCTCTGAACCGTCCGCCCCAGAAAGCAGAGCAGCAGCATTTTGCTTCCCCTCGTATTTCCCTCCAATATATATATATATATATTTTTTTCCTGTTTTGGTTTTTGTTTTTAGAGACGAGAGGGAAAAAAGGAACTGATGCCAATACTTCTCTGATCACCACGTGTGTGGCTGCGCAAAGAGCCTCCCCAAAAGAAGGCATTCCTCTGTGCTACGGGACTCAGATAACCTCAGCCTGCTGCTGGTCACGTTTCTTCTTTCTGATAGGGAAACTGAGGCAGGAAGCGAAACGACAGCTGGAAAACAAATAAAAGTAAAAACCCCCAAAGTGTTGAAGGGAGGGGGAACCGAATCTGAGAGCTCCGGCCCCAAATCAGCAGCTCTCAGCAGCACAGCCCACAGCCCAACCTGACCCTGCGCGGTGCGGGGGTCCCGGTGTCCCACATCCTATATCCCAGTGCGGGGGCAGCTCGTCCAACCCCCCTCAGTGTCATTTCCTGCCTCTGGGCTGCAGCTCCGGGACGTCTGAAGGAACTGAGCAGTGCGGAGCAGCGTCCGAAGGCGACGCCGGGACGTGTAGGATGATGAACTTTGCATGGGCATCACTCATCCTTCTTCATTTTACGTTGGGTAAAAAGGCATTTCTTTTTTTTTTTTTTACTTCTTCCTATTTGCTGCTTTGGGGTGGTTGTGATGCTGAGATGCTGTGCGGGGCTGAAGGGTTTTGGGGGTGTTTTCTCAGCAACTGGGGGGAGCGAAAGCAACCTGAGAGCAGCTGGGAGCTCCGGGTCACAGCAAAGCGTGTGCTCAAGGTTTGATAGATTGCAATGCTTGCTGTACTGCACTCAAATGAACACTCTGTACAGCTGAGAGCTGTAAGAGATAGAAACGGGGCGAGGGAAAAGGCAGGATTGCTCCAGCTGTGCTTTGGGAAGGCAGAACTGGAGTCAAGTTGGGCAGTGGCTGCACCCAGAGCTGCTCCTGCTTCCCAGGCAGCCAAGGAATGGAGCCGGGTGTCCTCTGAGGGGTTAAATGGGATTTTGGGATGAAAGCTCCTCGCTGTGACTCCCGTATTATTTCCCGTATTATTCTTAGCGTGGCTCCAGCGTAAATACAGCAAATAGCTTTCTCAGAATGCGTGGGGAGAAAGTGCTGGGAGTTTATCCAACTGGAGCCAAAAGGAGCACAGCTTTTCCCATGGCCATAGGATGTCGGCTGGGTGGGTATGAAGCGACACGGAGCTCCGAAAACCAGAGATTGATGGGATGTGAGCAGCTTTAGAGGCAGGGAAATGGGATTCGGAGTCGTCATGCTCCCTAACGGTGGGGTGTGACGCTGAGAACCATTGGATCCAGGCTGGGGAGGTTGTAGGGCAGAGAGGGGCACCCATGGGTGCTACCAGCCCCGATGCAACCTTAACGTGATGGGGTCAAACTGTCCGTTCCCAATTGGCTCCCTGTATACAAAAGTCCGATGTGGAGAAGTGAAACGAGCGGGGGCTTCCCGTGGTTTGGACTGAGCTGTGTGTGCGTCCATTTATAGCGGCTTGGCAGGGAGGAAATGCCAGGTGAGCGCTCGCAGCACCCCGAGGGCACCCAGGATGGATGTGGGCACTGGGGATGAGCCCCACAGCCCCCGTTACTCCGCTCCTTTCCTGCAAATCCGTCCCTAAAATACAGGAAAACGCGACGCGGCGGCCGGCCCGTAACTTGATATCTTTTGTTCCACGACCTTGATTTAATTACGGACCAGATTGGGAATCCGTTACTCCCACGGGGGGGGGGAGAAGCAACTTTTGCACAAAGAGCCAATAAATCAGCGAAACCATTCCCGCAAAACCACATCCCACAGGGCTCTGTGCAGGGGGGGGAAGGCAAAGCGGTTCTTTTTTTGTGTTTTTTTTTTTAGGAAATGCTGAGATAGGAGACGAGGAAATGACCAAGTTTTTATACGACTACGCATCTCACTACAGTAAGCAATCTTTGTTTTGGGCTAATTTTGTGCAAATTGAGCGATGAAAGCGAGGTGGGGTGGGGGGGCTGGGGTAGGAAAGAGGATTCAAAGGCCAATCCAGAGCTGTTTTGCTGGAGCTGCTCTGGCCCCAGCAGTTCTCAGCATCACCTGAGATTGCATCCCGCCAAGCCAATGGGGTTACATTGGATGTTGATGCAAAATGGGCTCACGGGGCTGTGCTTTCGTTCCAGGTGATTACCTATATGCCACTGCAGACTACTATTATGACAACACCACGCTAATGCCCACAGTGTACACGGTGCTCACATACTATGAAGGTGAGGTAAGTCAGACTTCCTCTTTGTATTTCTGAAAAAAAGTAGAAAGGGTTCTTCCGCTGCAGTGAGAAATGGGTTGAAATGTTGACTTGCAACTGTTGGACAACACAGAAGTGTTTGGGCAGAGGGCATCCATGCTGCAGCTGTGATGTGCTGTCGCAGAGCGGGCTGTGATTCTTCCTGAACGCCCCTGTGAGCACCATATTGCTTGGGAGAAGGGATTTGGGAAAGATGGTGGTGCTCCTCCAAGTTCTAAGCAAACTGAAGGCCTTTGCTTTGCTAAGCTTCTGACAGCGAGAGTCCCCCGAGGGATGCTCCCAATGGGGATTGTCCCAACTGGGCTGATCCCAATGGAAATGATCCCAACTGGGACGTTCCCAATGCAGATTGCCCCAACTGGGACGATCCCAATGGGCATTATCCCAACTGGGATGATCCTGATGGAAATTGCCCCAACTGGGATGCTCCCAATGGAAACTGCCCCAACTGGGATGATCCCAATGGAAACTGCCCCAACTGGGATGCTCCCAATGGAGATTGCCCCAACTGGGACGATCCCAATGCAAATTGCCCCAACTGGGATGCTCCCAATGGAGATTGCCCCAACTGGGATGATCCCAATGGAAATTGCCCCAACTGGGATGCTCCCAATGGAGATTGCCCCAACTGGGATGCTCCCAATGCAAATTGCCCCAACTGGGATGCTTCCAATAGTGATCATCTCAATTGAGATGCTCCCAGCTCCCCACAGGAACACTCCCAACAGGGATTATCCCAACAAAGATACTCCTGGGCACATTTATTTTCCCCAAGGCCTAAGCAAGGGGACAGCATGAAGGCAGAGCAGTTGGGCAGGGCATGAATTCTGCCACCGCACAACACAGCTCCAAACCATGCTGGTTTTGACCCATTCCTTTTCATTGACTTCCCAGGAGTATTTGGACGCGGAGGGATTACCCCTGCAGTGCCATCTGCCTCTGCTCCTCCTCCTCAGCTTCCTGCACCTCCTGCTATGATGCACCAAAGGTACAAAGCCAAGCACTCACTCCAAGCACCCCTTTAAGCCAGCGAAACGCAATTCTCTCCGAAGCAGCAGCGCTCTGAAGCACCTTTCCACAACCATCAGACCTCTGGGCACCCGGCTCTGCGCTAACGACAGCCAAAGAAGCGTGAATCAGCACAGGAACTGTGTAAAAACCAAAAGCCAAAGGGACTTTTAGGGTGTTTCCCAAAGCACCCAGCCATCCCACACTCTGCATGCAGCCTCCAGCGTGGGGAACTCCACGACCCCGGAGCCCAAACCCTGTTGGCATCCAGGTGTGCTCTGAATTCCCCCACGGCCTCGAGTCCATCCAACGCACAATGGGAGGACATGGGAATCACTTCCTAACCTCTTCCCCTCTTTGCAGACACGACGGCTGAGACGAAGAAAAGAACACCGTCACTGCATTGGAAGCTACATCCTCTGCACGAAGCAGTCATCTCTGTTTTTAGTACGGCTGTGATTTTATACACAGATTTTTTTTCCCCCCCGGCAGATGGATGATGCCATCCCGAGCCATAAAAGCTGTGCAAACACTGAGGAGCTTTGTAATGACTAGCTTCTTTCCTACTTCCTATTATTCTGTTGTAAATATGAACTCCTGCCAATAAAGTGACTAACAATTGACTTTCTGTCTCAGTTGTGTGTGACAGCGTGGAAGCACACTGCTGATTGCAATGCCTGCACGGAAAGCACAGCACTGTTATCCTGATGGGGCGAACCTGCCCAGCCCCACTTCTGTCTCTAAGCAGCAAAGTCTCAGCAGCTTTGGGGCTTGGAGCAGATTTTTGCCATTTCCCAGCTCTGTACATCGTTAGACGTTAATGGAGATGCTTTGGTACAGCCCAAAGGATGGTTGTCCTGAGATGCCAGGAGTCAGCACTGTGAGGTTTAATAGGAATTACAGAAATCAGAGAGATGGGAGAAATCAAAGCTCAGGTTGGAGGGGACCTCAGAGGTCAGCTGGTCCAATCTATTGTGATAAAAGCACATCCCATAGCAGAGCATCCAACACTTTGTGTATCCAAACCTTAAATTCTCCAGTATTAGTTTCCACCATGTCCCTGGGGAGTTGTTGCAGCGTCTGCATGTTACCATAGTGACAAAATTGTCCTCTTGGGACCAACTGGAATCTCCTCCAGTGCCACTGGTGCCCATTTCCCCATTTTTTGTGCATGGTTCCTCATAAATGAGGAGCGTCCGACTCCTTTGCAGACAGACATCAAATACTGGGACACACAGATGAGGTCTCCTGAGCCTTTTCTCCAGGCTGAACAAGTCCAGCCCCTCACCAGCCCTTGGAGCATCCCACGGTTCTGCTTTGAATCCTCTCCAGCCCATCTCCAGCCTTTCTGAATGGCAAAAAGCGAGACCAGCATTCCAAGTATGGTGCAAAGAGCACAGAGCAGAGCAGGATATTTCTTACTTTGCTGATGCCACTGGCACTGCCTTGGCTTGCAGCGACTGATAGCACAGCTTCCCCTCCAGAGGGTGAATGATCAGCCAACACCAGCAGAGCAGTGGTGTGCAGCTACTGCAGAAGCTCCATAACGTTCCTCCCTTGGACCTTTAAAGATCATAGAAGCACGGAAATACAGAAGGGGTTGGGTTGGAGGGCGCTGTAAAGACAACAGAACCACGGAATCGCAGCACAGTTGGGTTGGAAGAGATCTGGAAGATCACAGATCCATGGAGTCACAGAACGGTTGGGTTGGAACGGGCCTTAGAGACCACGGAACCACGGACATCAGAAGGGGTTGGGCTGCAAGGGACCTTAAATTCTTTACTCAGAGGGCAGTGAGGCCCTGGCGCTGCTGCACAGAGCAGTGTGGGTGTCCCACCCATGGAGGTGTCCCCAAGAACAGTGGGGAGGTCCTGGTGGGCCTCCAGGGGTCCCCCAGAACAAGTAGGGCCACGTGGAGGACCGCTGACCATAGAGAGCGGCAGGGCAGAGAGGCTCCAACGGGAGGAAAGGGACTTCCGGGTGGCCGGGATGGACGGGTGCGGCTATAAAGGGCGTGGCCATGCAAATATATTGCAGCGCTGCACCAATCAGACGCACCCGGGAGCACGAAAGGACCGCTGGGAGGGCCAAGCGGGTGCGTTCTCGGCTCAGTGCGGAGAGGAAAACGGTTCAAAAGAAGTGCCGAAGCGATGGGGGAAGAGTGCTCGGGTGTTTAGTTGTGCTGGGGGTGTCACGGGGTCTGGTGCTCTCCATGCTCAGCAATGCTTTGTTGGGCAATGTACACAGTAAAACCAAGGGAAGCATCTGTTTGCTGCAACGTGGACGGGTCAGGTTGGGGGAAGGACGTGGGGACACACATTCTGCTCGCTTCCTGGGTGCTCTTGCAGGGACAGCCTCAAACATCCTCTCCTGGAGCACGACTGATGCAGATGCTTCCATGGGCGTTTGGTGTTCCATTCCTTTTGGCTCTCTGCTGTGTGCAGTGAGGACATGGACAACAACCACCCCCAGCAATAGGATCCCCAGCGCTGCCAGCAGCAGCAGCACTTTGACAGGGCTGCAGAAGAGTGAGGAGACACTTGGCAAACAAACCAACCCTCACGGACTTCAGAGCTGAGCGCGTTCTGCCCAACTCCTGCACCCAGCTGCTCAGATTCTGCCTTTCTCCCAGCTGCTGCCATCAGGACATCGCCAGGTTCTGGTGGCAGCAGCTGGAAGGACACACGAAGAGGTGTAAAATCCAAGATCCAAGACCTAGCTGAAGGCAGCCTTGCCCATTGCAGGGGTTGGAATGAGGTGTCCTTTAGGAAGATGTACTTTGCAGAGATACGGAAACAAGAAGCCCCTTCCCCCAAAGCTCAGCCCACAAAGCCAACAGTTCTGCCTCCCATATGCACGGGGCTGTTTGTCCCAGGACAGCACAGAGCAGTTCTCAGCACTCACCATAGGAGATGCTCAGGGTGATGGAGTTGCTGGACATGGAGCCGGGGCTCTGGCATTCATATTTTTTTTGCCCCCTCCATCCAGAGGAATGGGATTGTGATGGACCCTTCTCATGTAAGGCTTTTGCTGCCCTCCCTCCCCACTGTTTTGGGCTCCATCCACATCCAGCCCCTGAGGTCACACACATTATTTCTTTGGACTTTTTTTTTTTAGCCATCCCAGAAGGAGATTCTAGGCTGACACCAATGGAAAGAAACCCACTTTTCAAGTGGAGAAAAGTCTTCAAAGGTCACAGAGGGGGAAGAAGCTCTACTGCAGGGTCAGGATCTTTGTCTTTCGTCAATGTTTGCTACTTACAAAGATGAACCTCCGTGGGGATATGGAGGTGGCTGCTAGCAAACGTGCATCATCAACATGAAAACATGAAAAAACAGGGGCATTTGCAGAAGATTTCTGTAAGGTAAGAACTCAGAACATCGACCTACTGTTGTTTTTCCTTTGTCCATATATTTGAAAGACAAGCCACACTTCTCAAACGAAATATCAACACAAGGTTCCAAACCACTGCCTGACCACCGGATTTCTACTGGAAACACAGCAGTTTTCTTAAAGCATCAGACAGGTCCAACAAGCAGAACTGGGGGGAACAAACAGGGTTAAAACATCAAAGCACCCAGGAGCTACCGAAAAGAACGAGGGAAGGGGAACATGGTGGAGGAAACGCACCTTGGATGGGAGCACGCGAGCACTGCGAGCGTCAGCGGCCGAGACGCCGCCGTGAAAAGTCATCATCTCCCGCCTGAAGCCTTCTGGGGTGTCGTAAAGGAGCAGGATGGGGATTTATGGAGGAATACACGTAAAATAAAAGAGACACCTGCCTGGAGATCATCTCTGCCGGGACTCGAACCCGGAACCTCTGGATTAGAAGTCCAGCGCGCTCGTCCATTGCGCCACAGAGACCTCACCGTGAGCACAGCAGCGGCACCAGAACTGAAAAATCCCGCACCCCGCATCACTGGGGGGGTCCCCACACCCCACTCCCACCCCACGGCACCGAGACGGCACGAAAACCTGGCGCCCAGATCCATCTCCCTTGCAACCCGACATCTCAGCATCCCTTCCTCCCAGTCGGATGGGCGATAATCCCGGGTATGATCCATATCTCGCTCGGCAGCGGGGATGCAGCAAAAACCTGGAGGTAGGATTGTGTCTGCATCCCTGGCAACCTCTCCGCAGCATCTGTGGCTCAGCTGAGGGCAGAGCTAAATCCTGGAGCAGAGTGAATCGCTGCTTCTCCCAGAGCATCGTCGCAGCATCCTCATCGCAGGGGAAAAGATGAAAGAAGATTCCGCTTACGAAGCCAAACAGTGACAATAAGGAAGAAAGCTCTGCTTGTCACGGTGAAGAACAAAGAAACCTGCGGTTTAAGCAGAGAAATAAAAGAAAATGCAGCCATCGTCTTTTATTTTAAGCAAGCTGTCAATCGAGGGTGTTTAATTCTTCTCTAAGTGTATCTTCTGTCAGAAAAAATGCAGGTGTCGAAACATGAGGAAAACCTTTTGCATCCTCCGAGCCACTACACAGCAGGTGAAGCTCTGCTTCCTTGCTGCGATGACCCACATCCTGCATTTCTAAACCCCACAGTTTCTGGAGCAACGCTTACTCCCAAAAAGAGGGAGAAATCGGGCTGTGAGGCGATGCGGCGCCTCAGCAGAAACGCAGCGCCAGCCGTCTCAGTGCTTCCCAGGTGAAACTGAAGCACTGGGTTCCACCCTTGGTGGTTTGTAGGAGGGTTTTCCATTGTCCTGACGCCTGCTTTTCAGTGGGTAAGTGGGTTTTTAATGGGCGCTGAGGGTTTGTGCTCTGCAGAACATCAGTAGGGCGAGTGGGAAATCGGAACCAGAGTTTTTTTCCTTCCTCTTTGCTCTGCTTTTCCTTGGAAGAAAGCTGCAAAGAGAGGAGAGGAAGACGAGGGTTGAACTTCTATCAGACAAAACCCTTTCTGCTGCAAGTGGTGTCCAGAGAATCAACAGCCCTTGAGATAAATGGCTGCGTGAACCAACTGCAGCGCCACAACCCCACCTCCACCTTGAGAATGCATGAAGAAAACGCCTACAGGCAGGGTGAACAAGGGCTGAGCTTAAAGGCTGCCACCTCATAAATCTCTGACCAAGTCAAAAAGAGCTGAGGTTGAGCAGAAAAGAAGAAACAAATTTCACACAGCTTGTGATCGCACCGCGTTTCATGTTGGAACCAACCAACTTTGGGAGGTGACAGCCTCACAGGTCAGGGGATGGGGACAGGGAGGAATCTGCCCTTCTAGCCTTCCCCAAGCTGTTGGCTGTCCCTCTGTTACTTCCAAATGCAACAAACCTGACAAGAAGAGTTTGGAGCAACCAGCACACCTGCAGGTCAACCATTTTTGATGCCAAGAATGCCAACAGAGCCATTAGTAGGAGAAGATGAGAATGAGATTCCATCAGCTGCTTTGAGACCAAAGCCACATCTCCATTTAGATGAAGAGATGAGGTTGTCCAACATGAGTTACAATGCTGTCAGGTGTTTACAACATGTCCCCAGTGCTCAAAAATGTTACGAGGATGAAAGAGCTGCAAACAAAGTGCAAATCATCCCCCAGCTCGGCCCCGGTTTGCTGTAAATGGAAGAATGCACACCGTGTGCAATGATACCAGGGAGCCAAAATAAACCAAAATAACTGCCCACCTTATAGACAGCTCCAAATTTCTCCAAATCCTTCCGACTTGCTGCCTATTTTCTTTTTTCCTAACCGTAATGATTTATTTGCCTTCCTTCTCTCGCCAACCATTGAACGCCCCAAGCACAGCCGCTTGGTTTGGCCGCCACGTCCTCAAAACTGCAATGTCTTTGTGTCTAAAAGGCACTGCACCAGCAACCCCTGCATTTGGCTCCCCTTCGTCGTCAACGTCTCATTATGAGACAGAGCCAGAAGTCACCAAGCTGGCGATAAAGAAAGACTCCAAGCAGAAACCCCCACATCCAAACCCCTTCGCCTGCAGAGCAGAGCTCAGAGATGTGCTCCCCAACCCCCCTTGAGCCTGCTGTGCAGGTGGAGCAGGATTTGGAAGCATTACTGGGGTATCCAACGCAAGGTTACCACCTCCAGCAATGCAACCCGAGGACAGGGGACGTTTCCTGGAGGACAACGGGGGTCTGGTTGGCACCATCCCTGCTGCCTTGGCATAGCTGAGGGAAAAAGATAAACCTGAGCCTGGGTGGGACAGCACAGAGCTCAGCAGCTGTTGGAGATGGGGTTGCCCAGCTTTCCTCTATTGGTTGGTGGTCCTGCAGAGCATGAGCTGAGGAGCTGCAACCTTTCAGGCCTCAGGACTGGGAACACAAGAATCAAGGATAAAACTCCCCTTCTCCGCCCCACAAGGGCTTTCCAAAGTTTAATGTTATGCCCTGAGTGATGACAAGGCACAGCTTGAGCGTGTTTGGGGCTCACAGCATCCTCTCTGCACGCGTTCCTCAGCATGCCTGATCACATGAACACTCCAAGTCTGCCAGAATGCATCCAAACCTGCACCCCACCATCACCCAAGCACAGCTGTACAGTTCTAGGCACATTCATGCCAACCTCATGGGCAAGACGGTGTTTCTGAGCACCCCTGCTGCTCTGCAGCAATGGCAACTTGGTTCTGAAGCAGCCAGAAAGCAAAAAGTCCCTCTGCCTTTGCTCCTTGCAGAAGAGCAGCATCAGCAATCTCTGCGTGCCACCGACGCCGTGTGATCCACAACCACCTCTGCCTAGGATGGAGATTGATGCCTCCAGGAGGACAGAGCCGTTTATGATTCATAAATTCAGGGCACATTTTGAAGGCAGCTGTGAGGAGCTGGCATCTCTCCTCCAAGGAATACGGATCAGCCTCAGCACCGTGTCCTCCCCACGTCACATTTTAGCACGTTTTCTCTCCAAATCAACCTTTCCAGCAGCACCTCCCGCCTCGTCCCCAGCCCCACGTGCAGCAGGAAGGGCTGTGCCTCAGTTTCCCATCCCCACTTGGCTGTGTGGGCTCAGCCTGCCCGCCCCCCCGGCGTCCCCACCGTCCCCAACCCATCGCGGTCGATGCTCCAGCTCTTCCCAAAGGGTTTCCCCATCACTCACTCGCTCTCAGCCCGATGCTCTCAGTTCCGCCGTCTCCTCCCAACACTTCGGGACTTTCTCCCGTGTTTCAGGAAAATGAAAGTAGAAAAGAAAAACAAGTTTTTTTTCTTCTTTTTTTTCCACCTCCGGGCTCCCCAAACCCTTTCCCCATCCTCTCCCCTTCTCCCTCCAACTTTTGCCCCATTTCTCCCCCCGCTCTTTCTGCCTTTTCTCCGGTATTCCACCCCCCTCTCCCTCTCCGTCCCGTCTCCCTTTGTCCCCTCTCGTCCTGCCCTTTCCGCCCGGGGGGGGTGGCCCCAGAGTTTCCATGGGGATGGAGGCGGTGGTTGCAGGAAAAACACAAAGACGATGGGGGGGGAGAGGGGGAAGGGGAGGGGGCAGCGGGGATGCGGCTCAAAGAGCCGTGTGGGCTCGGGGGGCACCGCGATCCTACAACTGCGACCCCACTTCTTGCTTTAATTCATGCTTCTGGCCTCGTGCTCCTTTCTTTCTGAAGGAACACTAACGGGCCCTATAGGAAAAGGAAAGAAAAAGTTGTTAGAAGTAACCAGAAATACGTGGCTGTTCCGGATCTGCTCCTCCATGCTTACATCAGAGGTTGGGGAGGGTGAGAGATGTGGTTTGGGTCACGCAGAGCAAGCAAAGAGCATCGAAGGGCTGTCCGACCTCATGGGCATCTCCATCAGCACGTCCAGATCGACTCCGTCCCATGGGAAATCATGGGCTGCCACCCAACGGATGTCACCCAAAGGGGTGCTGCTGCCACCCAACGGGATGCCACTGTTGAAGCACAGAATCTTTTGAGTTGGAAGCGACCCTTAAAGGGCCCAACCCCTCAGCAAAGAACAGGGAAACCCAGAGCTCCATCGGGTGCTCAGAGCCCCATCCAGCCCAACGTTGGGCATCTCCAGGGATGGGGCACCTTCACCGACCTGGGGAACCTGTGCCAGTGCCTCACTGCCACGACTGCAATCAACTTTTTCCATCCATCCAGTCTAAATTTTCCTCCCCGAAACCATTCCCACTTGTCCTATCACACAGACCCTGCTGAGGAGTCCGTCCTGCTCTCTGTCACAGCCCCCAACAGGGCACTGCCACCACCACCCAATGGGGACACCGGGGTGATTCAAGTGTCACCAGTTCCTGAAGCAAAGAGGAAAGTTTGGGTGAAGCCAATGTTTCCGGAGGCTGAGCAGGGTTCACAGCCACAACCAATCCACGTCACACCTCCCTCATGCATATTAACTATTTTATCTCCCAATGCTGATCAGTTGTATCAACCTGCGTGTGTTTGCAAAGGTGTTCAGCTCTATTTTCCCCTCACCTGTCTGCAGTCTGCTCATCCCACCCATCCTCTGTCCTTGCCTGCAGTGGCTTTGCTTCTTGCCACGTTCCTTTGGCTCTCCTCTCATGCACCTGACAGGGAGGCACTGCTGTAGGAGGTGGATCTGAATTACAGCCTGCAAGGTTACAGCCTGTCACAGAAGGGCTTTTAATCTGGAAAGGCACAAGATTCATGTCAGGACACCAGAATGCATTAAAAACCATTAAAAATCAAACAAGTTGTAATTATAAGACGACAATCATTGATTTTACACTTAATTCTAACAGCGTGCCACAGTTGTTAGCTTTAATCTGTTAGGATTTCACTTTTCCATTAATTAGCCAAACAAAACTAGGCTAACTGCTCATAAGACTCATGGAGAGCACAGAGACTGGAGGGCATTGGAGAGGATGGATCCCTTCCCTCCTTTGCACTCCGAGGTCTTATCTCACATTATCTCTTACACCAACGTGATGCTGCTGTAGGAGAGCTCGTGAGTAGGGCTGAACTCTACAGGTAGAACTCTACTGGTAGAACTCTACTGGTAGAACTCCATAGGAGCATGGAAGGGAGGTTGGATGGAAGAAGCTCTTCTGAACTGGACCAATCCCCCTGTGCTGCAGCAGTGCTTTCCCGAATAGAATTTTGCTGGTTCAGTTTGCCTGGCTAAAAACCACAAAAAAGTAGCATCTGCTTTGCGTAGGATTGGGCCAAATGATTCCTCAGAGCAAAGCAGGCTGCATGACGGTGCTACAGAAGGGCAGACCTCCATCTAGGAAACGACTGGAGGAAGAAGGGGACTGCAAACTTTATGTGGGCTTTACCTCTGACATGAATCTCCGTACATGAAGCTCGTTGCTGCAGGGTGGAATCTGAAGACCTTTAAATTCCAGCCCTGGGTATTTATCTGGGGGGAATGAAGTGGATGCGGTCTTTCTTGTGCAGGCTGGGAGCAAGAAAAGAGGGGAAAACCTGCTATCTGATGAGGGAAATGGCTTTGGAGGAATGCTGATTTTAGGCTCTAAATACTGAAGTCACGAAGACCCGAAGGAGAGCACTTCCAGAATTCTAAAGGCTCCTTCCCAACGCCGTGCACTGTGCTTCAGCTGCTGTGTTCCTACAGATTCCCACTTGGTGCCACTGTTGTTCTGTATTTGTCCCCAGTAGCAGAGCAGCAGAGCGGGGAGCTCAGGAGGGGCAGGAGAGGGGGGTCAGGACAAGGCAAGCACAGTTCAGCAAAGCAGAACGGGGCTGGAGGACTCCAGAGAGCACTGCAGAGATTTCCTGCAGCAAGACCCTTCTTCTTGCAATTCAGGCAGGGACTCATTGCCATGGCTGAGCAGAAATGGGGAATCCTGAGCCCGTGGGGAGGTGGTGTGGGGACCCTGCTGAGGCTTTAGGGCTCTTGGTGCCTTTTTTTCCCCCTTTTTTTGAAGGTTTTTCTAAATTTCCCATTCTTATTCAGAGGATCCCCAGCTACCGGCGCGTGGTGCTACACAGATGTGATTTGATTTCATCCCCAAAGCGTCCTGAGATGCTGCTTGTCTCTGCTGAACGGTTGGCTTAGCAGAGAAGGACCGAGGCTCAGGAGGAAGCAGTGAGCTCCTGCAGCCAGGAGAGCTTCCTTGGCCACGGTGGCGATGGGCTGATGGTTGGAACTGATGGTCCGTGCCGCTCTGCTCCAACCTGAATGGCTCTGCGATTGCCCCAGGTGTTGCTGCTGCACCGCTGGCTCCATCCTGCTCTCCTCTCCATCTGCTCACAGCGAAAGCTCATCACTGGGAAAGATCCGTGTGTATGCGGAGGTCCCTTCGGGGGCTGATGGTGTCAATAAGGCCTGAAAGAAGTTTGCACCGGGTGTCATCAGAGCTGCCGTCTCACGGAGCTGAACTTGCAGTCGTATGGCCGTCATAACGAGGTGCTGGATATTAACTGATGGCTTTTTGGCCTCTGGCCCAGTGAATGTTACAACAGAACAAATAGAGCCATCAGATCTTCCCCCCACAGCCCTCCTAAACCGCAGCCCGGGCTTTGCGTGGCTCCTGCTTTACAGGGGATGTAGGATTTCATTACCTTGCTTCCTCCTAAAGAGATGTTTTCAGCCCCCTAAGATTTTCCGGATCTTTACTGACAGTTTAAGCACCTGCAGCCAATGAGAAACGCAGAGCCACTGCGAGGATTCCTTTTCTTTTTGATGTATATCTCTGTATAAAACCCAATCACACCGCCAGCGCTGCTCGGCTGTAGAGCTTCTCATTGATATTTGAGCTTCCCAAACAGCAGCCCATCCTTCACAGCTTATTAACAGCCACTGCTGCCAACTTCTCCCATTTGGAAAAAAAAGAAGAAAAAAAAAGCCCACACATGAATTCTGGTTGTCCTGCAAGGCAATTGTGTGGCTTCTATGGCATTTCTCCTGGACTGAGCTCGTTAAGCGTTGTGATAATTTTCATCGTCTACGCACAGCTGATCAATCTGGCCTTTAATTGTTATGAGCTGCCTCCATCTCTGTGAGTTACAGAGACTGATGGAAAGTTTGGACAAGGCAAGCAGGGCTGCTCAGCAATGGATGAAGGTCTTTGAGGTCCCTTCCAACCGACGCCATGCTATGATTCTGTTCAAGACCCACTGGTTGGGTTCGGACAACGCCAGTGCCCGAATTAACAATGAATTAACAATGAATTAACAATGATTTCTAAAGGTGATCTCAAGCAGTCACACCTGCCGACCTCAAAGACCAGTGCCAACCCCACAGACGCTGCATGTCTACAAACTCCCCGAGTTTGGGGAGCAATTGGGGGACGGCGTGCTGCGGATGTGATAATCAAGCCTCAGTGACAGCTCAATTTATCACCGTGTGAGCTCCAACGCTCTGACTCCGCAGAACGCTCCCCCTTGTCATTGCTTGCTTTTTACTCCCAATGAAAAATCTCCGACGAGATTCCCTTTGACGGCTCTCTTTGCATTCCTGGCGCACGCTCAGCTAGCCAAGCAAGTCTGTAAATAATTGAGCACCCGGCGTTCCCTTCGCGCTTCCCACCAGAACTGGCTCGGTTTGCTCCCGACAGCAAATATTTAGCGAGGTAATCAATCCCCCCCCCTCCCATCCACCCCCCCCCCAGAATCTTCATTTGGATAAGAAAACAAAATGCTTCTCGCGGATCTGGTATCTGATTATTGCTGGCACCCGTCCTGCCTTTCTTAGAGAGCCGTTTGCGGGGTGCCGTACCGGGAGATAATTATGGAGGATCACAGAAGCAGTTCAATTAGCTGCAGCTAATGCTTCCTATTAGCATTTTGCTGGAGCTTTTGGAGTTTTTTCAGCTGAAACACATAAACAAGCTCAAACATTCGCACGAGAAAGCGGAGACAGAAACAGAAACAAAGAGTGGTGAAGGCATCAGGAGAACCACAGAGCAGGAGTGGTGCAGCAGGGGCTGCCTGCAAGATGTGGGCAATGCTGTGGTTCATCCCTTAGGGCATGGGTGCAACTCTTCAGTGTCCCAGTGCTGGAAATACAAACCCCCTCTGGAGCGTTAGATGGGGACTTTGCATTCCTCTCCATGATCTGTCTGCCCTCCAAGCGTCTCCACGCTGCCTTGTATGAGATTTGTGCCTCTTTGGGAGCCACGGAGCCATGGATGTCAGCTGTGGATGCTCCGCTGTGGATCCCCACCTCCCACCCACTGCGTTGAGTTATTGGCTGTTGCAGGTTCCATGTCAAACAACTCATTTCGTGAACCCGTCTGCCTTTACCTTCACATTATCCTTGTCCCCTGTGCCCACTGCCTGTGAGAAGACACTTTGGAGCATCATACCAGGAAAGTAAATTCAATTTCCAGCGTCAATGAGCCCTGACTGCTTTGTATGAGGCCCGCATTTGTGAGCGTTGTCCTGTGGCTCAAGCACCTTCCTTTGATGCTTCCACCCCAATTTCTTTTGAGGAAGCGATCAGACACTGCTATGCCCTCCAGTATGTGAGATCAAATGCGCCAAATGTTTTTACATCTTTTCTCCAGGACTGTCTGTCACGAATGGAGTCGGCCCGGCAGCTCCTTCTTTGCTAATCACTGCAATCATTGCACACCCGGGCTTTCTTGGGTCTCATACCCATCTCCCTGTCTCCCTTTCTTCACCTTCTTCCTCATCTAAATTCCCTTCCAGTCCTTTTCTGCTCTCCTTTCCTTCCTTCTTAGAGGCCCTTTTCTCCCACCCTTCAAAAAACCAATGTTTGAATGGACCTTACGAAATGAACCAGCTGTGTTAGCGCTCAGAGGGGAGAGCCAAGAGCTATCAACCATCTGCAAACATCCGAGGTGAAATCACGAGCTGCAGGGGGGCTGCAGTCTTGATTAAAGACAACGACTTCCAAAATAAAATAACTAAAAAAGCAGACAGCACATCTGGGGGCTCTCCATGAGCCGTAGGGACAAACATGGCCTTTCCTGTCATCTCCGTTGGGGAGATGGAGATGTTCTTCTGGGCTCTGGCTCTCCAGCATCGGCACAGCTGCTGGTGGCTGACCACAGGGCTCCCCCATTTTGCTGTGTTTGGTCCCAGTTTCAAGAACCTGCTGTTTTTCATGGCGTCTCACGGCTGGGTGTTGAGTCAGTGCAGAAGCTGGAGCTGCCCGTTGGGGTGGGATGCGTGCAGCTCTCCCAGCATCTTTGTCATCCCCTTCTGGTGCGTTCTGGTTTTATTGACCCTTGATGTTTGTTGTCATTTCTGTTGCACGCAGAGCTGGGCTTTGCATCCGGAAGCAGCAGAGCTTGGCTGTT